TCTAGCTATATTTATCAAGTACGCTACAAGTTTGAGGGACAAACTACCGACTTACCCCTTGAAGGTAAGTTCTAAATCTTAATGTCGAGATTCACTAAGTTCCTAAAATCCATTTTATAAAATGAATTTCTTTTACGAATATTGAAATTATATTCAGAAAACTCAATCAATTTATCGCCCTTTCAAATTTATAACATTGTTAAAGATCCATATCTCCCGAGTCATGATTTTGTATAGCAAAAAATTCAAGAATATCACATTCCCCTTCTTTGTGTGTGCATGTGCCTTCTGCAAGAAGATCGGGGTTTTGGGATGGAACAAGAGGCAAAAAGCTAGAAGAGCGCTTTCCGGAACGAAGTTAGAATGGAGAGATGAGTATTTAGGACTTGCCACATCACCATGTCGAAAAAAGAAATGGAGAAATTGAATTTATAGCCCTCAATTTATAGTTAAATAATTATTTAAACTTTAATTCCTATTTCTTGATAAAGAAGTCCTTAATTTTCAATTCCTATACTCACACCACATTTTTTTTTTCATAAATACATCAAATTTTAATTAAATTAAAGGTCATTAATATTTATTCATTATCACACTATGTTTAACTTTTTTCTTCATCACGTTCTCAATTTTACATTTCATTAATTAGAAAATATTGTCATTAATCGTGATTTTCATCCAAAAATATTGTTAACATGCTTTAAAATGAGACCCCAAATATTTAATCATATTTTTACATTATTATTTCTTTTGCTTATTCAAAAATACAATAGACAGATGGATCTTTTTACTCTAAAATAAATATAAATAAATAAATTGGGGTGAAACCATAATCAGTAACAATTTATGTTAATTTGAGAATAAAAATACGATGAAAAAAGTTTGAGACGGAAATGTTATAACGTGTAAATGTTATGAATCTTTCATACAATTAAAATGTAGTATAATTATTAAAAAAATTGTGGTGTAGATATATTTAGCCTAAAATATAAGGTTGGACAAAACTCTCTGTAACGACCCGGGTCCCACTTAACGGACTGTCCCGGCCGTTAGATCGACGACATACTGTCCCCACTATACCAACACGGGTCTTTTTAGCATGTTTTATCCTCACTCGCATACTCCTCAAGAAAACTTCCCAGTGGGTCACCCATCATAAAATTGTTCCAAGCCAAACACGCTTAACTGTATAGTTTTTAACGATGGACTTCCAAAAAAGAAGGTGCACCTTGTTGGTATGAGTAGTACCTATCAAATCTTTTTAATTTTTCCTGGTCTGGGTATTACAATCACCCCCCGTTAGACTTGTGAAGCCCTCGTCGCGCTTGATCCATTTGAGGATTTGTTGCCGGCGTTGGGATTCTAGAGGTGACTGCTACGAGTTCAAGAGGCGGTTCACGCTTTATGACGTAGCACTTTATCCCGCATAACACCTAGTTCCCGATTTTCGACCGGCAACCGGGCTCTGATACCATTTGTAATGACCCGGATCCCACTTAACGGG